ACCACCAAGATGTTAAATATTATGAAATATTTATTACACTGCTCACATGGATAATGGATAAAGTTAACCATAATGGATGGACATATTTTTTCATAATAAACGTTTTTACATTTGATAAATGTTTTAAATATAATTTCATGTTACCAGAAATGCGCATGGCTTACGCTTTGATTGATAATGACACACTGCTCATCTATGAAAGCAGGTTTTTACCGTAAAGCTCTTATGGGTCACGCCGACACAAAATATTATTTTGTATAATTAGCGACTCCTGAAAATGCATTAGAAATACAAAACACAATGAGAGGAGATTGTGTGTAATTAGTTCCTCGCTCTAAAACGTTTTGCACATGTATTGCATGTATTTTTGGGCTCCTGTCTCATCTTTAGAATTGCTTTTTTTCTCCGTCTTTCCGCCCCAAGGCATCAGATGACTCACAGTGTGCAACAAATAAAATGCTTCCTTTAGATGAAGACAAGATGTTGTCAAATTAGCTCATAAAATATTACTTTGACAAAACTCTTTTGGTCGGAATAAACAACATGTAATTTTTTACATTGGAAAAGCTATGTTTCCACAACTTTAACATCAAATGAAAATAAAAAAACATTGCATATTAAATATAACTGGGAAGGTAAACTAGGAGCAACCCTGTTTTAGAGCGGCTTAATTCTATACTGAAGTGGCGTGCACTCTGATAAGCAGATCCGAACCGTAGCCGCTGAAGCCGAGACAAATGCATTAGAATTCTCCGGGAGTGTGCGATGTGCCACTCGAGGCAGAGGAGCAGGTGAGTTGAAAGACATGGCCCCAAACTTGAATCATCGCTGCGTTAATCATGCATCACCTTCTCCATTGCTGCAACACAAATTCTCTCCTTTCTCTCTCTCTCTCTCTCTCTCTCTCTGCGATGTCTTTGTCCGACACATTCAAATTCACATCACACTGCAGAAAAAAAGGCCTGTCAAAACACCGGGCTGATGCCGAGATGAAGTTGTATCCACAGACAGGCAAACAGGACGGAGACACGGCTGAAGGGGCACAGCCCAAACCTATTGACTTTTTACATCCTTGTTTCATATTCGACTTATTTTAGGCCCATATTGGGAATGGCTACATGGCAAAATATCTAATCATCAACGTTTCTGATCAACATTGCGATTGTGATGCAATTTTTGATATCCTCTATGTTTTTAAAAGTCACATTTTTGAGTAAATATAACTTTATTGGAAAGGTATAGGAAGTGATTACCTTTCCGCAAATTTCAGAATTCTTACTCAGCCTGAAAAATAGTGAGTAGAGTTGGACATAACAAGTTTAGATGTTTCTTGCTAAATTCTTATAATCAGACTCAGACTAAACCTTTTGTCAGTGTACATCACATTATGAATGAGAAAATCTGCCCGGCGAAAGAAAAAAGACAAAAAAGCTTGTAAATTGACAAATCTTCAGAAAATCCTACAATCAAGAAAAAAAATTCCAAAATGCTTTTTATTTTGTCCCTTATTGCTTGCAAAATACTAAATAATTGCAGTCTTTACAATTTAGTAATTGGCAATTCATTTTGATTGTGATTAATTGCCCTATTATTGGGAAATCCTTTTAGAATTAACAGGCTTTATTTTTAACTATTTCTTTTATTTTAAGTTACTAAGTAAGAAAGGTTTATCTACATAGCGCACTTTACGGTCTCCCAAAGTGCTTCACAATTGTTTGGAGTTCAGGTAGTTGGATTTTTATTCTGAAGCCTTTCTACTATCTCATTCCACTGTGCCTTATGAATGATCGCAACTCTAAACCTCACTATCAGAGAAGAATCCAAAAGGTGTCTATATCCATCCATCCATTGATCTGAAAGCATGAGAGAGTTCAATGATATTTCAAAATTGTGCCATCGTTGAATGTGTGGACTACATTGACTTTCACAAACATAGCTTCAATCACCAAGTGTTTATCACGGTGGGAAACTCACGGAACTGCAGTCTGTGTCAGAGTGAAGTAGGACATAGAAGAATATGCCATTTGTTCTGTTATGATGGTAAAGAATGACAAAACAAAGTGTTTTCTCGAGTGCCTATTTTTAGTTACATAAAGCGACCACAATCTACCCAGACGAGTCCATTCAAAACAATACAGTGCAACAATAACATTCATAGTTACATTTGGGTGCTTAACCTTTAATGTTCATTGCAATTGAACAACATATTTTCCGCCTGAGCCTCTGTTGTATCCAGAACACAAAGTGCCTTCTGTGTGTGTTAGTAGTGCTTTCTGAAGGGTATAGCCACTGACCCAAATCTGCAACTTCACTTAGGAGTCCATGAAAAATGTAGTAACCCTCAACATTACGGACCGTACATTTTCTATGGGAACATGTTTCTGCTCCAGGAGACATCACAGCTGCTCGGCCTGACACGGCTGACGAAGAGGTGTCGTCAACGTACTTAAGAGCGCTAAGCTATTTTATGTAACTCATTTTATCAACCCTCCTGCGCCGTATGTAGCTCTAAGGTTCTGTGTTTGATTCCCAGTCATTTAGCTAAACCAACTTAACCAAGACATTTCCAAATTGCTGCTGCATTGATGCCACATAACAGAAAACATAAATGGTTTCATACATGTTTGAAATTTCAATATCCATCCATCCATCCATTCTCTACCCCTTAATCCATTTCTGGGTCGGAGGGGATGGCAAGTCACGGAGCACCAGCCCCTGACTGATCCTCCAGAAGTTGGTGAATCCACAAAAGGATGGCTGCTCTGTCAGTGACACAGAATTGATCTTTCAGGGGGGGGGGGGGGGGGGGGGGGCTTCAGACAAAGTGGGGTGAAGTCTCTTGCCCAAGGCCAATGTCTCCCCAAAAAAAACACTTCAATAGCCTATTTCATTATTTCAACGATCAGCAGATGACAGAATGCCTACACAGACACAGAGAGAACATGCAAACTACAAACTATAATAAAAACCGTGTTGTTGCCATTCGAATACATTCAATATGATTCTCCAATACATCGCATCACAGAGATGCACTTCTTGTTTTTGTTGTGCCCTTTTCCATCTCTCATTACTCTTGCATAAAACCTTTGACACTTTCTCTGGGATGCCGCTGCCGACTGACACAAAATCACTATTAAATGTCTGGAAACAACTTAATGACTTGAACATAATCTAAAAGAGAAACTCAAATTCCATGGACTAAACACTGGCAATGGGGATAAGCCCAAGAGCCTTAGCATTCAGCCCTGACAGGTAAACACCACAGTTGTTAGACAGCCAGATATGTTCATCCCTAATCTGTCAACACCTCATTTTAGCTTCTCCCTGGCACACAAACACACACAACTCCTACAAAACTCCTCTATAGCATAGAAAATGTCAACGTCCACACTGGGAAAAGGCCCTGAGAGGATCCCCCATGTTCTGCTGTTTATACGTGAAATTAATCATGCACTTTTGACCAGGTCTTCACACATATATTCCCACTGCAGACATGGGTAAACCAAGCGCAAGAAGAAAAAAAAATCTGCATATTTTTCTTACAGATGATGGCGGTGCTAAGGACTGATTTAATTAATGTGTTGTTGTACAAACGCCTTATGGATGTACAGTAATAGGTGACGATGATAAAGTGTTTCTGCCTTGTTTAGCACCTTGAGTGGCCTGGACATACCGCGTGATATCGGCAGCAGTTTTTGTACATCCGTGTGAGCTCCCCCCCATGTGTGACCGATGGCGCGAAACCAAGAGATCGCTATAATTTTCCGAATCAGTGGCTGTTCTCGGCGGTCAACCCCAGAGTAGATTAAGGATCACTTGTAGATGGGAATAAGAATAGTGTTGAGACTGTAGGTGGTTCAGCTTTGCAATAGGAAAGTCATGTATTCATAAAATAGGCCATAGTTGAGGTCATTGTTGGAGGGTGAAGATCATACTCGTGTTGTGTTCTTAGGCAAGACATCTGAACCATATTGTCTAGTACAGGGATTCCTAAACTTTTCTGTAAGTGAGTCCCAAAATAAGAATTAAAAAAAAAAAAACTGCCGAATAATAATATTGAAAGCATTCAACTCATGTTTTGTGCTATTTTAGTGATATTCTGAAATGTATCGTTTGTATATTAAAAATGTATTGCTCGGCTTCCTGGGATTACATCTTTCTGAGCACAAAAAATATTAACAATAATGTGTAGGGACTTTTTAAATGACAATTGCAGCATAACCATGGTGTAGAATTGTGTCCCATTTTTTGTCTTCTTGCTACCCCCATGGCTCACTTTGGAAACAGCTGGTCTCGAACAAGGGTGCCCAAACGTTTGTATTGGACCACTTTGAAAATGTTTCCTCAAAACTTAATTGGGTTTAGCTTTAAAAGTTAGTCTGTGCTGATATTTACGATTAATCAGCTCTTTATGGAGGCGTGACATTGTTATAGAATCATATCATCTGAGTCTATTCAAGACGAACTTCATCAGAAAATACACTTAATACTGTAAAAAATAGAAAATATGTGGTAATATCTTCTTGAATCGAGTAGTTTTTATCTTAATTTGAGTTGTATGAAAACAAGATATGCCAACGGGACAAGTTGTTGAGTTCTATTCCAAGAAATCTCACTTTATTTTCTCATTACAAGGGTGACATTTCTTTTTAATAACGATAAGAAAGATCATTTTTCATCACTATTTGCGGGGTATCCAAAACTGAGTAGCTCCTGTCTGGGAAACCAGACCCTTTGGCAGCAGGTACCACTGGTCTAGAATGCATCTGGTGTGTATGGACTAAAAATAGCCCTGCTAGAAAAAAGTATACAATCTGAAGTGTGAACTTTTCTGACTTCTATATCAAACGCATACAGACTGTGTGACATGAATGTAATACTGAGTCTCACAGCAGAGAAAGCCAAGATGGAATTACACGACTTTGATGATGGCATAATCTCATGTCATTTCTTCAGTGAGAGCTCCTGTTCTCTGTTGGTCACTCGTCAACTGCACTCACAGCTCAGACCGGTCCAAGATGTGACGGTTTCCATTGGCAACCATCCCGATCGGGCTCAAACAGGTGCTGCGCCTGATAGACCAACAATGACACGCCACCTCAGTGATAAACACGGGACTAAGAGTGTAGAGAGGCTTACACAGATGGTATACAAGTTTGGGCTGGACGATGTGGTAGTGAAGTCAAAAATCAATTCAAACAAAAGTCACCAACATTTTTACTGCTAAAAGCTCAGCTCAACCCAAGTACAATTTCAACTTCCACCTTATACGATCATATATAAGTATCATACAGACACTCAAACCTCAAGTAGGTCCAGAGAAGCACATCAGCCATGGATTTAACCAATTTGACATTCATCACATCTCTGATATCTAAAATCGTTGCTTAATCAAATTAGTGTTATTATTTATTATTATTGCCATCCCCAAGTTTTAAAACAATATGGCAGGTGATACGATTGTCTCATAACTTGAAGTTTCCAGAAGAACTTACACATTCCAAGTAAACAGTTGTGCAGCTGGATTCACCGTGCCACAATCTCTGATACTAGACAATCAAAAAAACCGTGTTGTTGCTATTTGAATACTTTCAATACGATTCCCCAGTACAGCGCTTTACAGAGATGCACTTCATGTGTTTGCGCTGTGCATTTTTCTCACAATTAAATGAGCAGTATGTAAAAAATCCTTGCCATTGGTTATTCTCCTCCAGTAAATCTTACTGGTTGTGGTTATGCCTTGGGAAGGGACGACTTGAAAAATATTGTACTGTTTGAAAATAAAATAGAGTCTCTGTCATCACCTTTAATATAACATGTTTACCCTACAAACACCATGGTAGGCATTAACAATAGAGGGTTAGGGTAGAGTAAAAAGTCAAAGTAAAAATGCTCTGTACTTGCCACCACCTTGTGCAGAACAGTTTGAATGCATATTATGTCGTGCTGGTGGCCTGTTCCTAAATGACCATATGATTGCTAATAATAACATTGGCATCCTTCCAGTGTGCCTGTCTAACTAGGTTTCAGCTCTAAATGTGAAAATGTCATTATTCAGATCGCTGTTGTGAAAAGCTCGGGGGATTATTTGTCAATAAAATACAATAATCCTGGAATATTAATGAAGGATTAACCCAGGATTAACCCTGCATGAATAGTGATATCCACTGGCACTACATCTACTGTTTTCAGATCTTGAATCCTGTAGATAATTGTATGATTGGGCATACAATACACTACATACAGAATTTAGGAGGATAGCAAATGTACTCAGACATACAACATGCTTGACATTTCAAAAGATAAAAAAAAAAACCTTGGAGTAAAAATAGCACGCTCTGATTGATTTGGCTTCAGACATCTGGCAACCTTATTTTACTAATTTAACACCAGGTGAGATAATGAACTGCTGGCAATCAGTATCGTTGGAACAAACACCAGATCATTTAAAACAAGACTAAAATAAGATTGTATGCCTTTGCTACATTTGTGAGTAAAAACAGAGCATGGTATGTACAAAAAGCTATCCTTGCTTTTTGAGTGGTAGTGCAAGCAGACAGATCTCATCACATTTGCAACGACAGATACCAACTTTGTGGTTTCTTCACAAAGCACAAAGCAGTGATTTTCCTTTTGGTGCAAACATGAAGCTTAAGCGGAAATTCAGAGTGGAAGACCTGAAAACCCAGCTCTGAGCACTCCCAACTCCTGCCGTTGCCCACAGCAACAGCAATCAGTCAAACACACTCAGCTGCAGCGCCCCATGCAAATCCTCACCTGCAGCAATCAGGCACTGCCCGCATCAGCTTCATATCTCACAGAAGCTCCATCCAAGCAGCAGCTTCATTCATGCCGCAACCCTCCTCCTCCCCATGTCCACCTTGTTCTAGACCAGCTCCTGCATCCTTCTCCTGGCTACCACCACCAGGATCTAGGCCCCAGGTGATTTCATCTCATAATTTCTTTCCCCTTCTGCAATCGTGCGGTGCTTCTCCCGGGGTCTAAGCGCCAAAACCCAACCACATTCTGTTCAGCACGGTAAATGTAATCTTGAAAATATTGTCTTTAGTGTCACATGCAGTGTTAGATTACCTGCCAACCAACAAACAATTCTAATACTATGTTTTGCCTGTTCGAGTCTTTCCAGATTGAAATGGGTATTACCAAAACTTAAAGGAGCAATATGTAAAAATCTGGCCAAAAGTGGTACTGCAGTCACAGTCAATATTTTGTAGTCCTCTCCCACTCTCCCTGACTCAGGTTGCCAGATTCACACCAAATCCAGCAGCAAACACAGGGAATTATTGTATCAGTTGTTTGTCCGTCTCCATTCACATTGCCATGACAGCCGTGCTAATGCTGAATGAATGTTTTGATTCATGTTTTTTTATTATTATAATTTGGACATTTGAGATAAAAAACAAAAACAAAATAAAAGCAATGTAATTATACATAGTTTATGCAAAATAAATAAGAAATTGATGTCCAAAATAGGAGTGGGAAGAATGGATGTTGGAACGTATTTCTTCAGCGTATCAACATCAGGGTTTGCTCAAGAGGATATCACCTTTCAATTTTATTTATTCCCTATTTTTTAGACAAACATGTAAAAGTCCCACATCAAAAAGAGACTAACATTATTTTAATTGGGGTACATGTGGTCTTAAATGATTATTTTTACAATTAAGCTATAATCTGCAAAAAAACGTCTTGACCTTCATCTTTTACCGTTTTTAGAGCAATCTGTCATAGAATGTGATAACATGCAATAAATACAAAAAGACATAGCCCGGGATCGAACCCGGGTTCCTGCATAGTAAGCGCACACCTTAGACCGCTAGGCCACCGATTCACACGAACTGAGACACTGTGAAGAACGGACTCAAACTAGAAAATTCTGCATCACACGTGAACTTTTATCAGCTGTCTCAAGTGTTCAAAGGCATCCCGATATAAATCCTCGTTTTAGTCTTTGTTTTGTCATTAATGATTTGAGAGTCATAACAAGACCTTTTTTAGTTCTGCGCCACATGTTATTTTACCACTGAGATTAATGAGCCGCGCGGAGTTCTGGCAACCCGATCACTGACTTACATGACACTTCCTGATTGGCGAAACGGCGGAGGGTAGGACATCAAAATCAAAACAATAACAACTTTTACGGGTCGTAAAACTAATTTTGATGATCAAATATCTCGGCTGAACTACTGTTATCAGTTAAAGATGAATTCGAAAAGAGTATGATTTAATAACGCCTTTTGAAATATTCGGGTCATTTAATGATGACTTGACATGCAAATATTACATATTGCTCCTTTAAAACAATACATTCAAAATAAACAAGACAGAAGCTAACACTATTTTTGGTCACGGTCAACGGTTCTGGGTCACAAACAAAGTTAAGACGAAATCCATTGTTAAAGTGTCTTTGTGACTATTTTGTGGCAGAAAATGGGTCATTGTTAAATTCCAGTCCCTCGTTACGGCTCTCATTAACCTACTTAGTTTTTAAAAATATAATACAATTAAGATTAAGAAAATTACAAAAAAGTAGGAAATCTTTTTTTGTGCGTGTGGATGTACTTTGAATGACTGGTTTGTTGTGACTTTGCTAAGTTATAAGTAGCTCAAATAAACATTATGAACTGAGCTGAAATAGTTTGAGAGTATTAGGCCTACATATATTAAATTATGAACATATGGGTACAACCATCGTTCTAGACAAGGATACCACATTTGCTTCAAGACAATTGACGGACTGGTTCAATGTCATCAAAAAGTATGAAAATGATTTTATATGACTTATTGAACCAAGACATAACACAGTGCATCTTTTTTTTTGTACGGCTCTATCAGTCATTTCAAGTGAAAAAAATGTTTCAACAGCTCACAGACTAAAACAAACGTCCTTCAAAGAGAAATTACATGTCCTAAACATCATGAGAAGAACCCAATATTTTCTTTTGGCTCTGTGCGGCTGGTTTTAATACTAAACAAATATCATCCCGGGGGCCAAGATATTTCATTGTTGGGCCGGATCTGGCCCCCAGGCCTTGACCTTGACACCATCTAGAGAAACCAAAATTATGCTGCTGGCTACAGAGCTGTCCCCCAAGCTTTTATTATTCCCTATTTTTCTTTTTGTTATTCTTTTTTCTTGTAACTTGGCGAAGACGAGGGTGTAAGGAACGTCAAGGATATTTGTGCATTTCCGTGAACACTGGCTAATCTGTTTGTCCTCACCAATTTGTTGGTTTAGGTTTGATTGATTTCTGATCGGCTTTTGGCAACAACAATTGTGTTAAGTTATGTTTATGGGCTAAACAAAAATACATAGATTTTTTTATACGAAAGCATCAATGTATGTTATAAATATGTTTATTCACATCCCAATTTAAATACAGCCCTATTTCACAACAGCAGTCATCTCAAAGGACTTTAAAAAATGGTCCATTTCCCAACAACAGAATAGAAATACAATCATAAAACAATCACAGCCATTGGTTCATAGGATTGCAGGCAAGGCAAGCTTCTTGTATAGCACAGTTCATACACCAGGCAACTCACAGATAGAAAAGAAATCCCAGTGCATAAAAGAGTGAAGAAGCAATCCTTCAGCTGTATGTTTTTGATTGCAGGATGACCAATATCCACAAATGATCCTAGATGTAAATGTATGTATGTCAGTTTGACGGATAGTTTGAGGCGTATCAGCTGTGTACCCAGGAATAACAAGACTACCGTATTTTTCTGATTATTAACCGCCCCGGATTATAAATTGCATCAGACAAAAATGTATGATAAAGGAGGAAAAAGACATGTATAAGTTGCATTTTTGTAGTTACAGGCAAAACTATGAAAGAAAAGGCGACTGGTATATATATGGTATGTACCTTTTCTGTGTCCCAAAACTAGTAGATTTGAACTCTGGGGGGAAATGAATGTGAAATCTACTTCCAAATCTTCAAAGTGTGTGGGACTGTAGACCTCCATTCGACAAACCGGCTTATGCTCTGACTCAGTATTTGTACTATGGCTTTACAAATCTAGCGGCTTATCAGGGGTGCCTTTAATAAAACAGCAGTATTTTTTCTCCCAGTTTTGGATTGCTATGACAACGGCAGTGAAATGTCCGTCGTAAAGCTCAGTCAGAGGTCAGGGTGGCAGTGGTCATCTCTAAAACAGCTGTGTCCAAGTGAAATGAGGCCAACCAATTGCACAGAAAATAGTGTTCAGTCAGTGGGAATAAAACGTCCATTGTTATACCTGATTGTGGGATTTTAACATTTCTTTCTTGTTTTGTTAAGTACTTCAAAATGCCTTGTATAGCACAGTGTACAAAGAAACCTGCCTTGCATTTTAAAGTTTTTTTCGCACAGAAAGCACTTGTGGTTGGGCTGAAGCAAGAAGACCAGGTCCAATCAATGTTAGGTGCACTTATTTTTTGAATTAATAAAGTAGTATTAGCTGAAGTAGTAATTATAATATAATTTAGTGCTCATACAGGGGTCTTTGATGTAAAATACAGACCATGGTGAAATGTAAATGTAGACAGATGAGGTTGGAAATGTGAAATTGAATTATTTTGTGTCAAACCTGCACAAACACTTTACAGAGAAGCACTGAATTTTTCTTCTCTGCCGGGTGTCTCAAAGTGTTATGAATATTATGGGATTATTAAAAACTCTATTAGAGAAATCTTAGTGGAAAAAACCCAAAACAAATCAAACAAAAATGAAGTCTTATGTTTTTCAAATATATACCATAAAGTTACACTGTATAGTTTGTCTTCCCGTCGAGCGTTGAGATCATATATTGTAATGTATAGTTCTACGATAGCTTCGCAG